AAGACATCCTTTTAAAAGTTTGTAACATTAATTTAATGGAAAAATGCCAATACCGCTCTAAGAACTCTATTAGATTTTCTCCCTGTTAAATTAATGTTACTAACTTTTAATGGATGTTGTAATTAGATGTTATTATTAACAGGAATATTACCCAAATTAAAATCAGACCCTGAGAGAGAGACAACTTACATTTACAAGTGCGTTAAGCATTAGTATCTGGACATTATACATACAAACTCATGGAGCCAGATGGCCTTTGCTTTGTTTTTCCCCTGTAACCTGCTACAGAACCAGGCACACATAGTTTTGTTAGCACATAATGTCTGCAAGAACAGCGCAACTATTAATGCACCCACATACAAAAGGAAGTGATGGTTTCTCCACCGGCTCTGGAGTAGGAAAGGGGAGCTCCATCTCCCAATTTCACACTCAATTTAAAGGGTCACTCTCAAACTGGCCTGATTGGGTTCGGCAGCTTGAAATTGATTGTTTTGGTTGTAAAGCTTGCCTGCCTTCCTAGCCAATTTAAAAAAAGAAAAAAGAGGAAAAAAAAAAAAAAAAAAGACTGCTAAGCTACTAGCTTATTATGAGCTGGAGAGCAGTGTGAGAAGGAATGTCATGAATTCAAAGCTACTGAATCCAGTCTATTTAGGGCACAGGGAAAATGACAAAAGTGCTGTTGTTTATTAAAGGTGAGATAGACACTTCTTCCTTTTTTTCCTCTACTCTTTGGGTTCTGGTCTACTTTACTGACAAAATTTCTGCCATACGCTCTTACCATGCATATACAGGTGAGGAGTTAGGTCTCAGCTGAGGAGAAAGGGGATCGCTTTCACCAAAAGCATAATTGTTTCATAAGCATATTCCTACAAGTTTGGGAGTACTTTTCCCTGTATTTTGAATAGAAAGGGGCCCTACATTAGCAAGCAGGAAAGTTCCAATCCTTTCTAAGCTGTAAGTGTATTTTGAGCCTCTGCCCTTGATCTGATGTTCCTGGGAGCAGGGTGGGGAGAAGCACAGTCTAGCAGTATTTGGGAACAGAAATGTATTTCATTAATTTATTTTGTGAAAAAGATGAGTTGCTGTTCAGCAGGTAGAGGCTGAAATACATCTTACTTTTTATTCCAAAAAAACCCCAAACAGTTAAACCCAGCTGTAGCTTGTTGAACAACTTGGTGCGAGGAAGGAAAACAAATAAGCAGAAAGCAAAGATAAGAAATAGAGAAATGAGTGTAATATACATACTTACGATTATGAAATTTCACAGGTCATGTCCTAGAAACCGTATCAGATAAATTTTTCAAACAAGTAAAAAGTCAAGAGACAGACCTTGGGCATTGCCTTTGGAAGCTGTGGTGCTTCCTTTGCACTGGTGACTCTTTCCTGCTGCCAGGGTTTGCAATGGGATCAGTTTTCCTTATTCCAGCTCCAATGGATGTGTCCATGAGACAGAAGCCCCAAAGCTCTTTGGATAAGTAAAATGGTGTTTTTAGCATTTTGAATGCTTGCTAGATCTAGATAGTGGCAGCAGTTATGATTGCGGAATATGTTGCTACTAGCCAAAAGTTGAGCCTAGCGGGTTAAAGATAAAGCTGATCGGTTACTTTTCTTCGTAACTGTTGACAATATATAGTATTTTTTTTCAAAGTGAAAAAAGACTGTGTATCTCAGTATGTATTTTCACCAAAAAATGGAAAAATAGGACTAAGCATTTCCTTTTTCTGTTTAGGTTAGGTTTTTGTCTTTTCTCTCCCCTAGAGAGAAAAGACTTACTTATTTTCTGACCCTTTTGTGAGCAAATCAGAAAAAAATGTAGTCATAGAAAATGACGAAACAGCATGTGCAAACCCCTTCTTCCCACAGCGAAAGAGATCTTATTTTTGGATTGCCTAGTATTTCCTTTAAACAGAATTAAAAATATTTTCAGGAAAAAATTGCCAGTTAAATTGGAAGGAGGAAACATCCCAGCTTCCAATAACAGGGCTAAGGACAAGACAGTGTAATTGTATCATGTGTGTCCTGCCAGAAAAAGAAAGATATATATCCCACCAAGAGGCTCCTTAGTATTTGCCACTGGAAGTTTGGCAGCCATTTTAGTGTTAAACCATGACCCTTAGCTCCCTCTTCCCTCCACATTACTCCCACTCAAAAGGAAACATTTCCCTTTTACAGTAATCAGCATCTTCCTGTGGCAGACTTAGGATGGTATCAGTACATACTTCTTACAGTAGCCTTGAAAGCATGTAACAAGGTTGAAACTTTTTTTTTAAAGTGTCAAGAAATTCTGAAGAAAAATTCCACAGACAGCAGCAGTTTCCACAGTTCCTTGACCACCAGAACTGCCAGTTGCCCACAGACATAAATACAGTTTGCGCAAACAGGAGAGCATTACAGAAAAACAGATTGCACTTTTTGTGAAGTTCTAAAACCAAATTCAAATCTATAAAATTACAGTAGTCAGTAGTTTTTCTAATCACCCAAATATTAATAGCACAGTAAATTGGTAGCTTTTGCTGCTTTCTATGAGGGTATCCCTGGACAGCTACCAGAAAAAAAAAAATTAATCTTCTGTATTATTGTTTTAGTCACAACTACTAAATAAATCACTAAATAGATGTAAATTGAACAGCATTCAGAAACCAGCCTGGAGCAAAAAAAGGTCTTTTAATATATTTTTTAACTTCTGTCTCTCAAGTGTCTATGCTTTTGCAATGAATAATGTGCCAAAGGATTTTTCAAATGCCAAATACTGCATACTAAACTATGCTCAATAGCCAAAGTGCCTCTGTGTTCACAGTTATGGGCTTTATCTCTGCTGTTGCTGTTTTTTTGGGTTTCCGTCATTGGAAGACTGGTAGATAAGAAGGCAAAATATGATGGACATTTTGAAGAAAGAAATAATGACTTCATCTTCCATAAATCGTGTAATGTAGAATGATGCAAGTGGTTCAGAAGAAAGAATGGAAGCGTTACCCTTTCTTATGCCATTTCTATCTTTGTATATGTGGTGAACAACCCTATGCTGTAGTAGGAGGTTGGGTGCACAAAGCAATAAATATTTCATCAGCTACAGTCTCAGGACATTTTTTTTTTGTTTAAACTTCACTCCCGATTGACCTAGTCTGAGGGTGGCTGGGTGCAGGTTGCTGGAGGCTGTGTGCAGAGTGCCACTTGATCCTCTTGCCTTCTCAGAGAGCCTCACAGGGTTTGCAAAAGGAGTAGATTCTGGGACAGCTGATATTTTTGGAAGCATGCTCCCTGCTGATGGCTTTCTTTGGAGTTTCATGGTCTCCTCTCACCTTCAGGTGACCACGTGTACATCCATCATATGATAAAAAGGAGCCCTCTGCCGCCACACACACACGCACACACGCGTTGTGAGACAGTGGCACTTCCACTTGCATGACAGGAGTGGACTGAAGATGCATTCTGGGCCTCTGCTGGTGGCAGTGGTGGGGACATTTCTGTCACGATATCCACTCTGAAGTGCAAGGTATGCCCTTGTCATGGGCACTCGCCATGTGGCCTGCAGCACCTATATTTTGGCCACGTGATGAATGTGCATCCCACACAAAGCATGATGAGATGTGTTGTGATACACAGCCCAACAGGGTCTTCATTAAAGTTTATTCGGGAACCTCGGAGCTGTGCAAGGTTGCAATAAGCTTAATCTGAATACAGACTGCTTGCTTTCCCCTCTACACCTTACAAGGGAAGATAAAACAGAAAGTGATAGATACAAGCAAAGTGTTAAAATGATGGGGGGATAGTTTCCCCTCTTTGGAAATCTGCCTCCAAATGACAAGCTGCCTGTAAATCTTTTGCCACACTTTTTACTTCCTCTAGTTGTCTATCTCCAATGCAAAGAGAGAAAGATTTATGTGGTTCTTAAAGTGAACCTAGATAAATTTCTTTAAACTGAGTGACCTTTGACCCTACCTAGTCTTATCCCTCCCCTTTTCACTCAAAGCCAAATTCCTCTTGACTTGAATGGGAGCAGGATCAACTCCTCAGTTAATTATGTCTGTTAATATTATGTGACATATTAGATTGCAAGTAAAATGCATGAAGATCAAAAAGGAGCTAGTCAGCACTGGGAAAGGAAAAGGCACTGACGTGTAGAAATCGGTGTGACTGGAGCATCCCCCTCATTTGTGCTCAGGCTCGGAAAGCGTGGGAGGAGGTGATTTCTCAGAAATGATGCTATGAAAATTCCCTACATCCTCCATTCACACGGATTCAGTAAAAGGACTTGTACTGGGCTTCAGTATGGCCTCTTGGACTACCGTGCACTCCTTGCCAAGGGAGCTAACAGCTACAGCTTGGAGTGTACAGGAGATATCATCCAAGTTTCAGCAATATGAGCCAAAGATAATAAACACAGCAGAATATTTGTAGGGTACTGTGTCACTGGTGCTCTGATTGGAATCATAACTAGAAAAGAAAGAAGGCAACTGATGAACAAACTCATTTTAAACCCATAGCATTCTTGGAAAATTCAGATATTAGGGAGAAAAAAAAAACTCTTGCTGTCATCAGAATTATTCCTCTGTAATTTTTTAAAACACTTAATTATATTTGGAAGAAAATTATGCATGCAGATAAAATTTCAGAATTTGCTCGACTCTGGTACTACGGATCATTGATCTACATGGGATGGACCCTAACTTATCAGCCTTATTTATTTATTTATCTGAAAGCAAAGGGTTAACTTCTTTTATTCAATCTTATTTCTTCCCGTTTTGTGGTCATTCATACATACACAAATCAGGAATTTTGTGAGGGAGACTAGGAGCCAGAAAAGTTAGCTCTGATCCGCTTTGAGGCTCTTGCACTTCTGTTAGGACTGGCGTTTGTACTACTCAAAAGGATTCAATTTTTTTATTCTATAACTAACGAGTGAAATCATAAGCATGTCAGAATGGTATATCAACAAATTTGGGGTAACTAGTGAATAATTCAGTGCTGTTGCACTTTATTAACTGTTCACTTCACTATAGGTGACAACCACGGAGTCCGAGAATGCAAGAACATGTCTTCTACTGCCAAGGACCAGCTGACACCCACGGAGTCGCAAAATGGGAACGGCTGTGTGCACCAAAAGGGAGGAAGTATATAAAAAGATTTTTGTTTTCAGTCACTCTGTGACCTAAGTAACGTCCTAGTTTAAACATTAAACTCAAGGTCATTAACTTGTCACAGTGATTTCTGATTTCAAACTTTATAGCAAAATAAGAGTTAAGAAGGCATGAAAAGGCTCATTAATTGATATGATAAAGCTTGCTGAAATGTAACCCTTTATATACTTCATATATATGTAGAGACAATGATTTTAAAGTTACAAAACTTCAAAAATATATGCATTGTTTAAGTCAGTACGTGTTTCACATGTCATACATTAAAGGTGAAACCATATAAAAAATGCTAGGTACTACTTTTGCACTTCCAAAAAAACAGACTATCAAGGGTTTGATTTCTCTTATGCTGAAAATAAAGTTAATTTGTGAAACTGTAATCCGAATTCAGAAAATGTTGGAAATAAAAGCAGTTTCATATTACTCATTCAGTCACAGGCTGATGTTTGTAGCAAATGATTTACACGAGAAAATTGACCATGTCTCATGCATCACTATTAATTTTTACACTTTAAAACAGGCACAATTTAAACCGAGGCCAATATACCCTCTTGACATTGTTGCTATCTTACTGCCAATCTCAGTGTTTTAAAGTAGGTGAAATTACTTCATTTCATTTTCATTAAAAATCTGAATGCAGCATTATTCCAGAGCTAGTAAAACTTATTCTAAATGTTTATGAAAAATATTAATTTACATTTTCTGTGAGGGATTAGCCTCTTCTTAGAACTGAATGTGGTTATTTTTTTCCACCTTAGTACAGACACTTTCGACCAGCTTCCTTCATTGGTGTTTGTGATATACTAATCACAGAATATATGAAATATGTTATATTTAAGGGGAAATGACTGAGAGCAAAAAGCCAGCGTTTATCATAACTTGTTCTCTTCAGTTAGAATAGTCCAGCACAATGGCACTTGGTTTTGAAAACTGGAGATTGTCAAAATAGATAGCTACAGTATTGGTCTTGTTAGCCCCTTTTACTCTGCCAGTAATTACCCTTTTTGTCCCAGAGTAGTGAAGGTTTTGTTTAGAAATATCTGCATTCCAAGTGAATCATGCACCTTTGTTTCAAATTGCCTGTAGGACGGCAGTATCCCAAAGCAGTGGGCAGCCTATACCTTAGCTGCTTGAGAATGAGATGATAACTCTTCGGATGGTTGTGCCTTGAGTTTGACCGCTCCTTACATACATTAACAGTGTAGGACAGAATCTTGAAATTCTCTCCTACTCATTAATGCTCTTATACTAATCTTTCACAACTAGACATTGTATCTACGTTACAATCTGACCTTTAATTGGATTTTATTAACTTGCGGCTATTGTTTAAGCAGGAACAATGATACTGGATCTGAAAAAAAATATAGGAAACAAGCAAATTATCAAGATTTTTCTCTCATTCTGGTGAATGATTTGAAGAGGTGGAAAGCCTTAAGTATTTAGCAAATTGCTTGATTGTCTTCTGTAGGTTAAAGTTTATAGTGAGCGAATGCTTAAAAAACGAAAATAGCCTTTCTGAAAGTTAGGAAGCCAGCACACAGATATCTCTTCATTACTTCTCATTGCTTGTATAAAGATAGCCAAATATTTATTTCGGACACATTGTGTCATCTGAATATTAGGTCTTCAGCTATTTGGGCTATGACAACTGAGTCCTACTATATTCTGGTTGGGTGATGGAGGACATTCTTTTTCTACTTATAAAGAAGTAGGAGGTCAGCATTGTAAACAATAGGCAGAATTTCCATTAATAATAAATGTACGATCACATGCCAATGCAAACTCACATGTCCTTTTCTGCTAGTACATCCACTGATGTTTCTGTTTAATAGAACAGAAGTTACAAAATGGTACATTTCAGGAATATAAAGATTTCAGATAAGTCTATGTCAGACCAAAATAAATTTCTTTTCCTTTGAGTGTAGCAAGGGCTTGATTTCACCCACAGGATTTAGGTATCTCTTCCTTTGGGTAAAAAATTTCCAAAAAGCTGATGATGATTTGTTATCCAATGGGTGCAGTTGTCCCACGTTATCCAGTTATCCCTTGTTATCCAACAGAGGAAGATGGCTAATAGAAAACAAAATACTAATGGTGAAGGAGGTATGGATTTGCTTTATTATGTTATCGTATTATTTTGATCCAAATATTTTCATTTTATTACGAGTAAAATTTGTATGCCAGATTGCTTTGTTTCATTTGTGTGTATGCAGGCTAAATAAACTGGTAGATAACTACTGGTTTATTATAGTCTATTTAAGATAGGCTGAAATGGAAAATAATTCTTTTTTTTCACATTTCATTTGAATCTCAAAAGAATATCTGTATCTCTAGTACTGATAACTAAAACTATTCAACATCAGAAATAATGTACATTGAGAAATTTACATATTCGTTATTAACTACAGAGGAAAAACATATTTTAAAATTAAAATAAGCTGATGGTAATGTATTGCACCCTAATAAATGGCGCCTACCTTCCACATTTAAGTGACCTGAGACCAGGAAAGCACTGGAATGTGCCTAAAATTAAGCTAGAAGTAAACTAGATCTCCATAACCTCCATAATTGAACTGCAGCCTTACAGGAGCAATCAGATGCTTCTTAATGCTTTTCAGAATTCCTCATTAAACCAGAGAATCTCACTGTGATATAAACCAGCAAACTGTCTCTTCAGCAGAAATCTTTTTCAGTGGTAAAGCCATTTATTGAATGTAAGTATTTCAGATGTTCATTAGCTTTATTGTATCTTCCTGTTTATAATTTTACTAAGTTTGCAGAGTTCGAAATGAAAACTACATTTTGTGTCATGTTACCAGCAGTTTTATGCACAAACACAGTGAATTAACTGTTTTGCTGTAAATCAGTTTAAAGGTTTTCACTGTAAATGTAATTGGTAATTTTTTAGTGGTAACTAACACTTTATAATACAGTATTTCTATATATAGCAAACAGTTCAAGGGACTTAATTACACAGTGACAGAGACTGTTATGTTCTCCCTATGTAATTTTAAAAATTGTTTTTAACAATAAGGAGCAATTGAAATTTGTCAATTTAGGAGTGACAAAAATGTTTTTGACTGTAAATGCGGTACTTAAATTGTTGTTTTACCAGTAGACTTGTCACCGTGATGTAGCTGGATGTCATAAAAACAGTTTAAAACTGCAAATTTAACCGTTAAATCTAATAGCAAGACTCTCATTGGCTAGTACTTGTTTAAATGCAGGAATTAAAAATCAGAGGAAGAAATAAAAAATCGGCATTTAAGTTGTACTCTAGGGATTGCTTTAAGTGTATAGCAATTAACACCATTGAAAGTACTGCCATGAAAATGATATGCTTACATCAGAGATTAATTTAAAATAAATTCCTAATATTTGGGACCCAGCACAGAGAGAAGCTGAGCATCGACTTGTGCCTAAAAATGAGACTACAGTTAAAACCGCATTTGTTAAGAGATGTATCTCCCCACTGTTACAAGCAAGACAATGATTTTGATATGCAAAGAATTATTCTCTTACATGTGTAAAACCTTGGATTGCAACTGAAATGTAAGCAGGAAAAGCATGCAGGCTGCTGCTACACAAGTAATAAAAAACTGGCCTTAACTTTCTTTTTGGACCTCTCATATCCAACAGCGCTCCAAGTGCTATGGCACTTTACACTACATTGATGTTCAGGCAAGCCATGAACCATGGACATATGTTTAAACCTGTTATGGCTCATCAGCGTCAAATATCAGACTTGGGAGGCTTAGGTAAACTTGGGCTTCCAAGCACAGGAAAAATGTCTATGGGTTTCATGGCTGGGAAAATCCCTATTGCTTCATAAGGAAAAGTTATGATTGCTGATGGTGCACAAAACTGCTCAGCTGGTTCCCTAGCTTCTCACACTGTAAACCATAGTGCAACTGTGTTCATTAGAAATGCAGCAGGGAGAAGCGTAAATGAAAACATGCAGTACAAAATGTATTCAAGTGGTTGCCAACTGAATGGTGGAAAAACGAAAACACTATTTCAACTGGTGGAAGCACTGAAGAAAGGCAGTGCTAAAAAACACCAACTGTTTGTGTCCCTGCTCCCATAGAAATCCAGTACTGCAACTCTCTTTCTACACACTGCATTATTCTGATTATTTGTAGAGACAAAGGAGAGTCCTTCTAACCTGCAAGCATTATCATTACTTTCTAGCTGCCTCTCCATCTGGGTCAATGCAACCATCCAGTTTCACTAAGAGGAGCAGCTTTCCAAGGAGATAATCTGCACTCGAGGTCCTGGAGCTCCTAAAAGGTCTCAGTTCTTCCTCCAACATTTCGCAGAGCTAAGGAGAGCTGCACCCTGAGGGCATGTTGCTTCCAGGGCACCCTGCCGCTCTCCAGTCTGCTTGGCATGCCCCGGGGAAGAGCAATCTACAGAAAAGAGAGCAGAAGTTACAGTGCTGCAACCACAGGTAACTCTCTGCAGCGCCATGTTACCACAGCTGTGCCCCCCGGCATGAGAGGAAGGGAGAGGAGCTGCAGGAGGGCACTAGGAGGAGGATGAGAGAGGGGCAGAGGTGGGATCTGAGGAGAAACCTTAGGGAAAGGCAATCCGGGAGACGTACAGGGAATACACTCACTGAAAATCTGCATCACTCGTCAGATCTGCTTCTTTTACCCCAGTCTTTCGAACACCTACCTTATCCCCGTCTGTGTCACTCTGTGGTAAGTGAAATGGTACGTGTCTGTGCTGTGTGTATGACAAGGTGCCCTATCATGAACAGAGGACCTAAGAGGCTGCTGAAATACTTATAACCTATTTTCCTGAACAGCAGAGATTAAATTGTGTAATAGCAGAGAGGAAGAATTCAACCCACTACTCTGGCTTATCAGTTTTTATTATTAATACGTGCCTATGCAGAAAGGGAATATAGCAACTGCGTTGCCATTTTTGTCTGACTAAGTTGTGTAGGAACTGATCTGGTCTATGTTAAGAGAATGGACCACAGCCATGAAGTTTGGATACTGCAAGAGCAATTTCTTCAAATATAGGGTTAAATCGAGGGTTATGCTAGCCTCCACTCTCTTAACTGAACACTAAAAAATGTCTAAGGGCCAAAATTCGCTGCCAACTACACATAAACAACTCCAACTGACTTCAATAGGAGTTTCCTGTGTGTATCCAGGAGCAGATTTTAGAGCTAAGAGTATGCATCAAAGTCTAAATAGCAAATGTTAGTGAATTGACATTCTGTTTATTCATTATTTTCAAGGTGTCGATAGAGGTTTCTCTGTCTAATATAAAATGATTTGGCTGTCACATTTTTAATGAAGGCTTTTAATTACTCTTGATATACAGTATTGTACTGGTTGTTTTGCACAGTTGCTTTTGTGCATTTAGCCAAAGCTCTGTCTATAAGAAAACCTGCCTGCATCAGGTTTTTGGTCAAAAACAGTCTTTGTCACTGCTTTGTACCAATGATGTTTTCAGCTTGCAGCAGAAAACAAAAGGGCAGACCTATATTTGACTTAGAATATAAATAGTCTTAAGAGGAAAAATGGAGTGTGTTGTAATTGAAGATACATCTTTGGTTGCCCTTTTAATAACAGTAAATGTGATCATACTGAGGGCTGAAAAGAGTCACTAGCTATAAGTTAATTTCTTGTGGGAGGGGGCAGTTTTAAGAAAGCATAAGTAAATGAGCTAAGTTTTGTAATGAAAAGAGGGGCCTCTACTATGCAGGGTGTCTTTGGAATGGTGGGTCTGGGTCAGCTTTTTTTCTTAAAAGCCCAGAGCTTGATTCCCAAAGAAACCAAGGAATGCAGGCTGACAACCTGAGGTGGGGAGGGCCTACCTTGTTTTCAGCTCTCACCCAACATGGTTCCCATCACTCCAAGGGCAGACCCAGGAGCCCTCAGGTTAGTATAGGCCTTCTTTGCACACTTCACCTGGCTCTCAGCTGGACTGGATACAGACGTTTTCAGAAAGACTTCCAAGTACGTGAGGCATTTACATATGCACAAAAGCCTATAATGTCCAGATAATGATTTGCAGACTTGTGGAGTAAACTGCATTTATGGGTATTTCATTTCTAACTGTTAATGTTTAAGCAGGAAGTGGCAGAGACAGGACAGACTAGAGGAATGTATTGGCCACATGGAGAGAGGCACTGAGGACATGAGCATCCCTTTTGCCCTCACCTAGGGTTACACAGAAAGGCTCCTACTTCCTACACCTCCATACTTTTAAGGGCCAAATGTCTTTATGAATCAGGTCCAAATGAATTAAGCTACATCTTCATTCACCGAACCAGATCATAAATAGTGTCCGTCTCTCAGTCTGATTTGTAAACTCCACGTGCCACTAGCAGTCAAATAGTTTTTGAAAATGAAAATAATAGCTATGTGAATGAATCTATGCATGTATTATAGAGGGAAACTGAAGCTGCAATCAAAATACGGGCACTAGAAAGCAACTTGACACTTGCATTGGTGACAAATTTCATAGAGCCTAGATAATGAACCTCAAATATTAATCAGCTGTTATGTTTCAAATTCTAGTGCTCTTTAATTGCCTTAATACAGAAAGTCTCCTGCTTTGGTATTGTGGAAGGCCTCACATGTAACAAAAATAAACACATTAAATAAATAAATAAATAAACCCAATCTCCTAGGTACTAATTTGCCATGGATTGTATTTAAGTCCTCATCCATTATGTGAATTAGAAGTGAAACAAACACTGGCATCAATACTCTATTGCAGCCAGACCAGCCTGAGATCCAAGTGAGTGTGTGTCCTGGACAGTTTGTATTGATGCTGTCCTGAGTATCACGCTCATCAATAATGGAAATAATTGCATTTTAATAATTAAAAAACCCCCATCATTTTCACAGAGGTAGAAATGATGACTTTGTTCCCTCCATGCAGTTTATCTACCTTCTAATGACAGAACTGATTCACCAAGCAGCTCATTTATGAACGCACACATGCACACAAAGAAATCTGCCTTTATTCAGGTGAAAGAGTATCAAGTATACGCTGTACTCAGAAGCTTGAATTAAAGGTGAAGTGTATGGAGGAAGAGCAGCCACTTCCCTCTTGGCCCCTTTTCTATTACTGTCCTAATAAAGGGGCCAAAAAAAGTCATGTGAAAATTGTCATTCTGAATACTTTTCGCTGAACTTTTTGGACTAACTCCACATTTTTATGGCACTAAAAACCTCTATTGACTGAAATAAGGATGATTGATAGTGCAATAAAGTCTTGTTTGGTTACAGACTGAGTCTGTACAGCACTTTAATGTGGATCCGGAGAAAAAATTTTCTTTCTTATTTCTCATGTCACATGTTCTCTCTGTGCAGAATGATCTTGAACTTATTAGTTAGGTCTGCCTTGTGTAAAGCTAACTAAATCATGATATAAACATGGCCTTAATAGCCCCAAGTCATCTTCGCACTGTTTTCTTTCCTGGTAATCAGATGTTTGGGGTGTTTTGCCCAGATTGTGGCCTATCTGGGATTTTGCAGATTAACAATAATGTCTTACTGACATATCCAAATGTCTTGGAGATGCAAAGTCCTGAAAGTAGAAAATAAACAAACAGACTAATAAAAAGGAAGTAAAGGCATCATAAAATTCACTTTGCTCTCTGGAGAATTTCTTATATTGGCTTAGTAAATGTGCAGTGAGCGATAAGTGGATTACCTGGCCTCTGCAGTAGCCGGTATAGTTTAGATTCTTACTAGCTTGCTTTCTTCCTTTTAACTACAGTCCTAGTTCAAACTTACGTGATTAAGATAATACTCAACCAAAAACTACAAAAAAAAAAAAACAGAATAAACCAGATACCAACTTTAGAAGCTTAAGGCTCTCTCTTCATGTTTTCCAGCACCTGAACTAAAGCCCAGTAAAAACTGTTTTAAAAAGGTACAGTAAAATTTCTCACTGAAAGGGTAGTTTTTGAGTTGTCTGTCACATTTTCAGCTACTTGAAGAAAAATATATATTTTATAAAACATATATAAACTATCTTCTTTGAAAACCAAACATCTGACAGCTCTGTCTTAAAGATAACTTAATTCTTATTGCCTGCAACAATAAAGTCAAAAAGCAAACACACTAGCTTCAGCAAAGTGAAATGAACTACACACACACCTAAAACTAAGCAGATACATTAATGCTTTGCCACCTCGGGCTTTTAAAAACATATACCTCTGGACGAGCATTTATTTGTAGTTTTATATTTACCTATGTCACAATGATATACTTAATTAAAGAAACCATCAACTATATCTGGAAAAAAAATTAGATTTTGCCTTTATATCAGAAACTTTTTTTATTAAATGCAAAAGCAAAATCTAGATGAATAAATCTTACTAACTGATGCTGTGGCTTTATAATCTGTACTAAAATTTCAAGTAGGCGATTAAGAATGTAAGTCCTTGTTGAGAATAGAATTAGGAGTACCTGATATCGTTATAAATATTCACTCACAAGCCAAGGATATTCACTCACTGAGCAAAGGATATCCTTTCATTATGCCAAAATGAACAACCTAACCTCTTTTCTGTTTCCTTACACTCTATTTTTAGTTTTGTTTCAAATTTATTTCTTTCCTTAAAGCTACTTAGCAGATTAATTCACCAGAAATAACTGCCTTATTGTTGATTATATAAATGATTCAGGATGTTTGACATATTTAATTTGAATGAATGGCACAAATTTCAGCCCAGCCCAGTGCTTTGCTAGTCCGTACGCACCAGAATCGCCTCTTGGATCATTAAAAGTTCAGTTAATTCACTAACTCTCTGCACTTAGGAGTTTTACTACAATGATTAGGTTTTCAAGGACAGCAGCAGACCCTTCCCTCTAGGTCCGGCTTCTCTTTCAGAGTGTAGTGAAAGTGAACAAATACAGAAAAAAAAATGAAAATACCTGAAGAGAATAAAGAACAAGGGTGATGGGGTAAGATGGATTACTGGAATTTTCCACCAATCACTGAACAACACATTGGCTAAAACATTGATTGATGAAGTATTTAAGTCGTCAATCTCACATCACAAGCCTTTTTACAAATGGCTGCAGAAAGGGGCTGACATCGAGGTGGTATCAATGGAAGTTGGCTTTGCTACAAAATATAAGAAAGACCTCTAGTCCACAATTTGCTCTCTTGCAAGACGTTCAATAACCGCTTTCGACGGCCACTTTGCCAGCAAATGTTTCACTTAAGATGTCGGTATTCTTTACTCAGGACTGCCGTCCACCTCTAAATTTATAGGTCTTTACTATGGGAAGATTTACTTCCCCTTAGTTTTCGGTCAGATTATTTTTCCCCCATGCAGATTGCTTTTCAGTTTGCATGGAGGTTTTTTTGGAGTGGGTACTTTTTTCTTTTTTTCCCCTTTCTTAAAAAGAATTACAACCAGTTGTTGTCTCTTCAGATATGTTTTAAAACAGTAAATCAGTCATTGCCAGAAATCTGTGTTTGATTGAGAAATCAGCTTGTTCTAGCTTTTTATTTCCTTCCCCTCTTTCACTTTTCTTGTTCATCGACATTAACCTAAAAATAAATGACTACACAGGACTTGAGCTTAGTATCTGTAGAAGCAGTTGCTGCAGAGACGGGTCACCTCTTGGTTACCATCAGCATTGTGCCATTTGTTCTCTGAAGACCCTTCTTCTTTCCCGGGAATATGACAAACGCAAGGGGCAGTTCATATCGAGAGAAAGACAGCCAAGCAATTCAGATTCCATGGGGGGATGGGGGGAGAAGCCAACAAAAGAACGTATATATCCCAGCATGAAAGAGCATCTTGATTTCAAGTTTTCTTTCAGGAGTCGTTAATATTTTATGAGACCACACAGAGTGTTCCTCCAGTGACATTTTTCTAAATAATGTAATGTGCAGTAAAGTTATCAGACAAAGGGGAGGAGGAGGGAAACAGCCTTGTTTAGGTCAAAAAAAGAAATGCACTTGAATTCAAGTGTTCTGAAGGTTGGCTAGTGCCTGACTCCAGAGCCCCAAACTTTTGTAGGGTCAACACTTACCAGGGTGCCCATGAATAAGGGAGATACCTTAGAGTTTTTTCTTTCATTTTTCTTTCTTTTTTTTTTTTTCCTGAGCCGAACGTATGTGCTGCAGGCTCACTCAGCTCCCTTTTTTTGCATCAATAAAAACTGATGGAACAGGGAATGTCTACAGAAAATCATACAGAAGTAAGACTGGCAAAAGCACAGGAATTCCTATTTTGTCCGCAGGCAGCAAATTCTTCCTTCCTGGCCCCATGGTATTTGGGAGCTTTTCTTGAAAGCAAACGTCAGTCTGAAGATGTGGGGCCAAACACCCTCAGAGTTTAAGGAAGTCCTTTGGTAGCTTACAGAGCAGCTCCATGGGCTTGCAGATCTTCCAACACTGTAGCCGTAGAGAGCTCAGCAACCCTGCTATGGACCAAATCAAACCTCCAAATCTTCTGCTTTATAATACTTTAGATGGAAGTCCAGACTTAGAAGACCACTCCAGTTTTGAGCTGCTGGATCACACATTACAGCCTACTTAGGGCCTTTCACTTTGAAGCAGGTATAGGTTTTCACTATGGCTTAATAAGCTTCCATTCCTCAGGTAAGCCATTGTACTTTGCAAAAGCAACAGGATAAAAGCATTCATGTGCAAGTTCAGCTGACAGGTTAGTAATTTAATAATTTGCAATTACTCTAGCTATGGCAGTTTATGTTGATCAGAGGTCTTGTTAACTTACCACAATCTCTTAGAATCTTCCATTTTAGAAGAACAAAATGAAATACTCTGCTTTTTTCTATTATGAATGTTACAGTACCATCGCCAATGCTCTTTCTGGAACTGTCCTTCCCAAAACCTGTGTTTAAAGCTATAGGGAAGTCTTGGCACAAGCTTTTTGAAATCAATGTATTCTATGAGGTACTATTATGTTGTATGTGGATCAGCTTAGTGCTAATTACTATTTAGTAATGGTTCAGACAGATTTCTCTTAGAATGAACTAACTAGGGAAGTGAAGAAGTAACCATCAAAAAACAAACTTGTGTAACACAAGATTGAAAAATTATACTTACTTTTACTTTAAATATACAAAGTACCTAACTGGTATCAAATTGCAACAGATAAAATCACTCAGCAACACGCTGCACATGCTTTCCTCCTCTTGAATTATTTAGACAGATGCAAGTTAGTGGTCACCTTTATTATACTAATATACTGTATGGGACTGAAGTGGATATAACATACTGTAGTAGTAATGTGTGGAATGAATTAGACAACTTGTACAAAGCAGCAACTAAATTTATTGTATTAAATAAGAATCCAGCTCACCACTGCAGTTTATATGAGCAGTTAAAATGGTTTGCCTCTTTCCGTTACATGACAATGTAATCAATGAAATAAATTACTGGCTGGCAGAAATCCTACATTTGAAATATCTCACATGTTTCATATGGCACAGCAGAAATCTTCGCAGGGAAATAGAAAGCCCAAGAAGTTGGTAAAATAGATTTGTATAAATGCTGTTGCTGAGAATTGCATCCAAGTTAGCAGTTAAATTGTGCAAGCCCTGATTATTCAGAAAGACAAAAACATGTAATCTGATCTTAAGGTATGCAGTGATATTGCATCAGATATAGCAATTACGTAATTACACTGCAGTCCTCCAAACACTTATGCATGTGTATCCTCAGCCCTACTAATAGGAGTAATTCCTTGATTTCACTGATTTTGCTACTCATGGAAGTAAAATTAAGACATACTTATACATTTACACAGTCTGAGTTCTGTAACTCTTACAGACGTCTGTTCATGAAAGGCTGCTTTATCTGTACTTTTTTTTTTATATGTGTTCATAAATAACATGAAAATGTGTGGTTATTGAGGTAGCTGTTGAATTGAAAGTGAGGATAGGAAAACGTTAGGGAGGGAAATCCTGGATCAATTAAAGTCAATGGGAATTTTGCCATGATTTTACCCTAAGGTTCAAAAACAGAAGAAATGCACCAGGTCAGATGTTTCTAGTAATTTATTCAATATACCATGACAAATATTTTTTTAATGTGATAAGATAAATGTACAAGACTATTTAACTAGTAAGATTATCTAATGATGTTTTCTGATAGTTTTTCCCTCCTGTTCAGGGCTTACCTGTCTGTTTGTCATAGACAAGGATATTTTATCTTTTTATGTTGCTAATTATCTCGTTCTCCGTGGGCGATTTTATTCCAAGAACAAAATACTTCCCTTTATCACACTCACACATGGTTTCTCCTGCACCTTCCTTTCCTATTAGGAAGTAGATCCTTCTCATGAATTTGTTCCACTGTACTCTTTGCTTCAGTGCCTTAAACACACTTCTGACTGGCTGCTTTTTGGTCATTATCCTAGCCCTTTTGCTAGGATAATGTTCCTAATCCTACCTTGATAGCTGTTCCATTATTTTAACATACAGTTAGCCTGCTGTGGTGTTGCCCAGTCCCATTTATATTCATCCATCACCAATGTCATTTCTAACATTGTTTTAACAGTGAATGTTGCAGCTTTCTACCTGAGCACTCTCTTCAGGTACTGCTGCCATTTACTTCCCCACGCTGCTAATTTGTGCACATTAATTGGCTCAGCATCACTCCCCATAGTGCCTGTGTGGCCTGGAAAATATTGAATGGCTGCTTGGCCAGAAGTAGGGAGGTTTTTTAAAAATCATTTTCACTAATTTTCTACCCCTATTGCTACTCAATAGTAGTGATGCAATAAATAAATATATTGAATCAGAACTTCACTTTACTGGGTCTTAATTGGTGTATCTTGAGTGAATCTATGCCAATGTATAATGAATCTATATTGTTTTTCATAGATCTTATCCAGCCCGCTGTATCTGGCCTTTAAACTGTTACAGAGTTACACAGCAAGGTGGAGTAGATTGTGTGTCTGGTTTATGTAACCGTGGTTTTGTTTAGTTGTCATGTTAAAAATAATGAATTAGGTATAATAAAAGCTAGTTTTCTTGTATACAGTTTAGAGTAAGCAACTTTGAACTCAGAAAGGGTCATTATGATAGCCTAATCTAACCACTTTATTTGTATAAAATAGGCCAGCCAATTTCTAATGTGAGAGGACACCTGCTTAAGAAAGGGGCTGGGGAGGAAAGGTAATCTTGTCTATCTGTTTGTTGCATACCTTTGGAATTACTTTCAGATAAAACTTTTGCATTAAAGCTGACAAGGTCATTAAAAATAGAGATAGGTCCCAGTAAGAGGGACATACATAAGTAGCAATGAAGTCTTTCCTTGCATAGGAATTTCAAATATCTGTGAAATTAGAGTATTTTAATATTCTGTGCATTTTTCTTCCCTAAAATGAACCTGATGACGCTTTTACCTACCTCTTCCAAAAAGCAGTTCTGCATTTTGCCCTAACAAGTGAAGTAAGACCCAAATCCCACCTCCTTCTTCAAACTGATGTCTTTTAGTAGGAATTATGAAGACAGCTCATCTGTAACGAGATAATAAAGATCAGTGGAGTAATGGGTAAGTAGTTAAGAGTTTTCTTTATGCTCTTAATGTCAAGGATTGCGTTTATTAGATTGCATGAACATAAGCTGCTAGCCAGTTAAGACCACGTCCTGATAGTTGAGCGCATAGCCCTGCAGATGAGATGTCCAGCTAGTTAAAGAAAAGTAATTCATATCATGTGGACTAGCACTTACCCCTGCTCAAACGAGATTCCTTTGTGAAGAAACAGAAGTGCATTTTTCAAAGTGACACAAATGGGATTTGAACTAGGATTTGCCTATTTGAAGAAGTGTGGGAAAAGCTAAATTGTGAATTAAAGCATGGTGGATACTTCTTTGTGTATGGACATTCCTATTCCATATTAAAAAGTGCTTTTTGTGCTTAATTCTGAACTAACTTCCTTTCATGGATAAACCTTACCTTTTGATAATCTAACTTAAAACACAACAGCTAAAATTTTCAAGATGACCTAAAACCTAATTTCAAAAGTGCAAGCAGCACTTTAAATGACATATTTTAGTGTCTATCCTTTCCGTGAGAAATTAATGGAAGTTACTCATGCAAATACAGCAAGTCTGCTTGCTCGTGTCTATCTTAAGGTGCATCTCAGTTCTGAAAAGAGTTAGTGTAAAAAGTTCCTTCCTTCCTTCCCTTTCTCTGTGGGACACATTTACTAATCCTGTGAACAGGCATATGTTTTTATTGCTTCTCGACTTTCCTGGTCTTGCAGAGCAAATATTATGGAGGACATAAACTGAATTACAGCCTCTCTGGCACACCATCTTGCACTTTCACTAAGCTTCGGTCCAGTCCGAGGAATCTCTGTGACCATTAAAGCCTATAGGTGTGACCTGGAGACATCAATGCAAAGATGGGCACATCATGGAGGCCCTATCCTGGACAGCAAGCAGCCAGTTCCATGTCTGCTCTGAGCAGCCTGGGGATGCTGAGAGAAAGAGGGAATAGTACATTCACCTAACCAACCCATATTAAATTACCTGCAGAAATGATAAGAAAACTTATAAAACTGCGAACAAATGATCCAGCTATCAATGAAATGCAATACATATGGAATCCTGTAATGCCACCAATAAAGTCTCTTTTCAGAAGTGAGCTGCATTTCAAGGTAAGGGGTAGATTTTATATTGAAAGTGAGGCCACGGAGTGTCTTATATTTTCTTTTTCCCTTCCAAATTGAAATAGGTCTCAGCTCTCTCATTCAGATGGGTCAAAACTCCCAATACACAGTTGTGCCCGGGAGATAATAGGTTAAGATTTTAATCCAGAGTCTACTTCTGTTTCAGAGGAATACTACCTTGTACAGATCAGAACCAGTAACTCTTCCAGATAAAAAAGCTAAGGCTGCTTACATTAAGTCATTAAGAAGGTGCAAAGAAGGATAGTTTTTTCTCTACAGTAGAGAAGGTGAATGAATGAGACTGCCCTTCAGTTCCTTAAAAACGCAGTAGGAGGGAAA